GTGTTAACGAGCAGTTGGACAGGTGTACCTAATAAAGTGGCCGGTGAGTGTATGTGGCAGCAGAAAGTTTATAATTCTGATCAATAAGTTCAACAAACTTCAAACAAATAATGTCATAAATCTGCTCAATGAAAAATAAATAATTTCACAAAATAAAGTGATTTTAAACATAAGGTTTAAATATCAGTCACAGAGTCAAGTTTACTTTAATCTTTTTCATTTTTCATGTATTTTTAAAAACATTTTTAGGTTCGTATTCAGAGGGATCAAACTGAGCCATTAAAAGACACTTTTAGGGGAGAAAAAGCTTGTTTACATTTAAAGTGGAAACACTCACACATGTCTTTGTCCTTGATGATGCCACAGAAGTACTGTGGGTTCTCCACAAAACTCGACAAACCAGAGTCTTCGTCTGAGGAAGGCGGGCTGGTTCCGAAGTTCATGAACCGAAGTGACACGGCCAGGTCGTCTTCAGTCCCCAGAACTGATGAGCCTAATGAAACAAACAGATGACAAAACTGAGGGATCCATGACACCTAATCAGCCCCGAACATCTTGTGATTACAGGAGCCAACAAAAGGAGCAATTCAAGACCCATTTCCCCCTTTTTAAGGAATCAGCATTCTCTGAAACCAACTTGGCTGCACAATTCTTGGTACCATGGTGACAGAGGATGAAAAGCTCTAATAATCACCATCATCAACCAGCAATCAGGCCACATTGAACTGGGGGAAAAAGTGACCATAGAAGAAGCCCGGCTGGTTCGCAGCACCTCACTCTGGCACATTTTAAAAGCCAAACAAGTGGAGCCCAAATTGTAAAACCTCCTCAGCGAGGCAAACCTCAGAACCCCCAGAGTCCAAAACAGAAGAAAATGGAACAACAAAGAGCCCAGAGGAGAGAACCGTCCACTTAGGCAATCAGGTCCACTTAGGAGCTCTGAGTGAGGAGAGGAAGGGGTGGAGAGTCCACATGGAGCAATAAACCATGTAACTGTTCATCCATCCATCCATCCATCCATCCATCCATCCATCCATCCATCCATCCATCCATCATCCATCCATCCATCCATCCATCCATCCAGTCTCTTTAATGGGCCTCACCACGTGGCAGTGGTTCTGTGCTGCTGTAATTAAAGCACTTTGTCCAACATTAAACAGCAGCTGCCTGTGTGCAAACTTTCAGCACAACCAGAACCTAAATCCAGTCCTGAAAAACCAACAGAACCATCTGGAATTTACAACGTTTCTGATTCTGATCAAACTAATCCCGGGTCACACGGTTTAATCCGAGTCATAAAAACTGAGAACAGACATCAGAATCAAGGCGACAGAATAAGAAACAACCTCTTTATTTTTGTCTTTTTATTTTATCTGACTCTACCTGGCAGACTTCTGGTGCCTTTATTACCCACAATGCAACTTGAAAACATTTGGTCTGATATTCAAGAGCTCAGAGTCCCTTTTATTCTGAGGTTCAGGGACAAATTGTTTTATGGAGGTTTAAAACTAAAAGCTACCAAAAAGCAGAATACTGTACATCCCAGAACATGTACAACAGCTTTAATGAGAAGTTTTACTGTGACCTCAGATGGTTATTTATCCTGAACTTTGTTGGAACGTGACAACCTCTCAACCAGCCGGAATAACCGTCACAGGTTTAACAGAAAGACCAGCTTCTGTAATCCTGAATTACTTCCTCATTCAGCCTCGCTGAAGCAGGCTCGTGTGTCGACTTACGGTGAATCCCAAACTTGGACTGCTGGCCACACCTGTTGACCACCAGAATCATGATGAGCAGGAAGGTGCAGGCGAACACTGCGAGGCCCACGGCCACAGACACCTGCCAAAAACACAAGAGGATTTAATAAAAACACTAATATTCATCTAAGTGTTAAATCAATGTCCTAATCAAGACATTGATTGGTTTCTGAGTCCGACAACAACTTCTGCATATTGTTCTATTAATGATACTGTAAGACAAGTAAATTGATTGATAACTGTGTTGCACCATAGATTTTTAAAATTGATTTTATCCAAATAACAAATAAGAACTGGGTTGAAACATCACGATCTTAAAACAATTCTTGTTTGATTGTTCAGATTTTATCAGTAAAAACTCCACCTGACCTAAAACTCCCCAACAATCAGACGTACCACAAACACGCGACTCTCAGGGTTCTCCGTCACATCCATATCTGCTTTGTTAGCAGGACCTGAGGGGAGATGAGAGTCGGAGAGCAAAACTTAATTTCATGTCAATGTCATGTGAAAAAAAATAAATCAAGAGCCGTAAAGTCGGTTAAGGACTTACTTGGTTCCCAATCAGGGACTAGCATGAAGGGAGCAAGAGCAAAAACATGTTTATGAACATAAATCACACAAAACCCAAAGATATGAAGTTCTGTTCAGAGATTTTCCAGCTTAAAATTAAGTTTCATGTCTAGATTAAGTATTTTTTTTTAGAGATGATGGGATTGTTAACTTCACTCTGTCATGCAGCAATGTATCAAAACTCAAACGAACACTCGCTAAAACAATTATTTTTTTTATATCTTAGCTTGAATTAAAACAGTTTTGAAATCAGTCAGTAAAACAAAAAGTTTGTTATTGATGTGAGTTTTATGTTTCTATAATGAACATGAGAATAAACTGAAAGAGCATCATTAGTTAAAAGTGAGGAATGCATTTTGGCACCTAAAATTATTTAAGTACAGAAAGTTCACTGTAACTGTTCAGCTATTTATGTATTATTTAGATTTTTTTCAAGGTTTAGGGTTTAAAGTACAAGTAATGCATTTTCAGCTTTTCTATTTTCTTTTTCTAACCTTTTAACTTTTCATTTCTACTGAATTAGTTCTGGTTAAAATGTCAGAAACTCCAGACATGAAACAACTCACAAGTGATAAAAGTCAAACTATAGATTAAAAGGTCATAACTTCACCCAAATAAGGATGAAAAATATAAATAAAAACTCAGTTATAGTACCTCTTTGAAGAACACACATCACTCATAAAGTAAACCCGCAAATAATAACCCTAACCTCATAAAGTACTCCCACAAATCATACGGAAATATGAAATATCTTTGTGAAAGTGATAGTTTTGAAAGACTTGACAAGCCTAATCAGTATCAGCTGAAGATTTTTAGTTTTATTCCATCAGCCGATTTATGGATAATCCAATGACTCAGTGTGTCAGACAGTTTAATCACTTAAAGAGTATGAACAATTCGAAACGAATGTGTGTAAAAAAGGAGGGCCCAGTCGTGGTCCTTGAGGGACACCGTTCTGCAGGTTTTACTCGTTTCCCTGTTCCAACACACCTGATCCATTTCTTTAAAATTGTTAGAGCAGAGGAACTTTTAAAACAGGCAGGACCGGACACGCCTTGCCCCATCCCTTTCATTCATCACATGTGTAGGGGTCACCTCGAGTGAAGAAACAGGAGTTCCAGCCTCAAAGCAGGTCTCGCACAGGCCTGAGAACTGGCAGGAACGCTGGACTCTTATTTTAGGCCATGACGGGTCATTTTACACACGAGGACTTCAGTTCTCTCTAATCAGATATTAACAGAAACRATCTGTTCTGTTCATGATTCATTTATTGTTTAACTAAGGATGTTTAAAGCATTTGTTAATCATAATAATGACATGTCACAAAGAATATAGAATCACCTATTCTTTTATTGTGCCTGAAATAGACTAATGAAGCACAGAAATCATCACCATGTTTCATTGTGTTTTTATAAATCACTGTTTTATTTTTACTGAAACATCAGTAATATAATTTTGAGTTTTCTTAAGAAAATCTTACATTTATATGGACACAAGTTCAGATGATTATTTAAGCAGAAGGTTTAATTAATCATGATAAATGTTTACAGTGATCTCTTACAGTCTGGCAAAAGAAGCAGAGCAAATGACCTTCACTGACAGCTGGCAACTCGCTTATCTTCTTTTCCTTTCTGACTCTGGCTTATCTAGTCAACTCTGACTTACTAACACGGACGCCTGGAGACACAGGCAGAAAGAGTCTTCTTGCTGATGCCAAAGCAGCAGGACGGAGCTGGTTCTCTCCGGAGAAACAGCTGGGCCTCAGGCGGCACCCATCAGCTAAATAGGGTGGCCTGAAGTCCAGGACAGAGGCAAGCCGGCCTCATGTCCATATAGAGACACCCGTCTCTCAAGTGTTTTTCAACTCCCTGGGGGGGAGACTTTTATTTTGAAAGACGACCGAAGCCACAGCTGGAATCTCTCTGGCCCGGCTTAAGCGGACTAAAGTCACCTGAAAGACACCTTTCCACTAAGGACCATTTCTGGACAAGCTTCCTGAAGGGTCGTCGGTGAGACAGCCAGACCAGGGGTTCTTAAGCAGACTCTCCAGGTAACGCTGACGTGTTCGGTGGGTGACGTGTCAACTTGAAGCTGAGAGCTCAGAGGGACGTGCTGAATCCGGTTGAAACACTTTCAAAATTAAAATAGAAACACTAATTCTTCATTTCATTATCTTTATCTTTACCTTTACCCTTTACCCTTGCCAACAACTAAGTGAAGTGCCAGTGAATAGTCCAGTCTTAACATCAGAACTGACTTTTACTGTTTATACATAAGTAATCTGAGTTTTAATGTGAAAAGAAATTCGGACGCGGGTTTTACCTCACTTTAACTTAGACGCTTGTTATAAATAGCTCACAATCAGGTGTAATTTATGATTTTGTTCAATTTGTGTAAATAAATGATTGCATAATCTTTATGAATCAACTTGAACCAGTCTGAGTTCCCTAATTGTGTCACTTCACTTTGCACAGACAAATATTAAAGTAATGAGAAGAAACCTTGGTAAAATTTACTCTCATAGCTTAGTTATGAGAAGGTAAGGTAAGTTATTTGCATAAATAACTCATCCCTTACACATGTAAAACTTTTTGAGTCAGTAAAATTTTCAGGAGCTGACCTGGAATGATCCCTTCAGGATTGTCCAGAAAAGGGTTGACCATGAACATTCCAACTGCTGTGGCCTTGTCCCGTCCAAGTTTGTTCTCCACGATTAATGAATAATTGCCGTTGTTGATATGGGTCGGCTTGTTCAGGAAGAGGCAGCCATGTTTTACTGAGCCGTCGCTCGAGTCGGGGATGAACTGCATGTAGGCGTATATGCTTTCCTTGAATATCTCCCCATTGTGGAGCCAAGTGATGCTGGGCTCAGGGTTTCCATCCACAGCGAAGGGGAAACACCAGTGGTGCTGTGGCACAGCATCTCTCAGGAAAATGATCTTGGCAGGGACTGTGGAGAGAGAAGACAGGATTACAACAAATGTTCCGACGTTTGACATTTCTGCAAGGGTGAGGGTCCTGTTCATTATAAAGGACCCTCACCCTCAGCTATATCTAAATTTAATGTTTGGAAAGTTTTACTTAACATGATTTAATTAGATAAATATATTTCAGAAACAATTCTGATGACAAATTATTGTTATTTATTTAAAATTATTTTTGCTATCCAACCCAAACCCTAAACCTAATCCAAACCCCAACTGGAACCCTAACCCTAACCCCATGCCCAACCGCAACCCTAACCCCAACTATGACCCCAATCCCAACCACAACCCCAGTCCTAACGGCAACCCCAGCCCTAATTCTAACCCCAACCTCAACCCAACCCCCAACACGAACGCCAGCCCTTAGCCCAACCACAACCCCAGTCCTAACTGCAACACCAGCCCTAATTCTAACCCCAACCCCAACACGAACCCAACACTTAGCCCAACCACAACCCCAACACAACCCCTACCACAACCCCAGCCGCAACCTAAACCCAACCCTAACCCAAACCCCAGCATGAACCCCAACCTTAACCCCAACCCTAACCCCAACACTACCCCAACCCTTAGCCTAACCACAACCCCAACACAACCCCAACACCAACTCAACCCCAACCACAACCCAACCCCCAACATGAACCCCAACCCTTAGCCCCACCACAACCCCAACACAACCCCTACCCCAACAACCCTACCACCAAACCCAACCTCAACCCAACCCTTAGCCAAACCACAATCCCAACACAGCCCCTACCCCAACCCTAATCCCAGCCGCAACCTAAACCCAACCCTAACCCCAGCATGAACCCCAACCTTAACCCCAACCCTACCCCAACACTACCCCAACCCTTAGCCTAACCACAACCCCAACACCAACTCAACCCCAACCCCAACTTCAACCCAACCCCAACACTAACCCCAACCATGTTACAAATCTGCTTAATACATTACTTAATATTTATTTTATTTCATTTCTGCAACCTAACCCCAACCCTAATCCCAACCCAGCTCCTACCTTAACCATAATCCTAACAAAGTTAGTTTAAATTCATGGAAAGATGGGACAAAAAATAAACTAACAATAAAATCTGCACAATAATTGATGAATAATCAATTATGTTTTAAATTAACCTTTGCGACCGAACCCAAAACCCAACCAAGTTTCAAAGACAAGACAAAAAATAAAGAAATAAAATCTGCACAACAACTGAAAGTTAATAAGTTCTTTATCCAACATTTTGTGAACAGAATTTATGATTTTTGCCAAAAAAAAATATGTTGGATTTACATAACCAAGCTGTGTCAAGTGATTCCACTCAACTGAGTTGAGTAAATACTGTTTAAAGCAACTTTCACAAAATGTGAAACTCAAAGCAGGCAACCAGAACAACAAACAAAATAAACATAACAAAAACTGACCAAAATTAAGTCAAACCTGAAATCATAAACAAATCGAAACAAAAAATTCTCTCAAGATTGTAACAAAAGCTGGAAAATGTCTTTGCTTGCATCCTGGCTTTTAAAATATTTGACCTTTTTATCTTAGGTTTTCTTCGTCTTTATTCAGTTTCCTCTTTGTACAAGTAAAAAAATGTCAGAATCCTGGAAGCTGCTTATAAATGAAGCAGCATCTGTCAACATATACAACTTTACATGCTTCCATTTTCTGCTGAATGCACAGTTATGCCAAATGTAATAAAGTTGGTTCCTCTGAGTTTCCATGAATCAATGCTCTCCATCTGCGCTGCAAACCTGCGCTGACCTGCCATGAATAATGAATCCTGGTCCTCGTCATGCTCTTTGACCACAAAAACTACCTGGAAGCTTTTTTTCCCCTGAACATGAACTTACAGGAAATGGCCTCATTTAGATCGAACACAACTGTGAAGTGCAGAGACCCCCTCTGTCCGCCCGGGGCCATTCTGCTGCTCTTAACCTGCGACCTCCACCCCAGAAAGTGCTGCGCTAAGGGGGATGCTGAGGCATTCAGCTCCTGCTTCCTCTGCGCTCCGTTGCACTGAGTGGAAATCACTGCTATTTATCACATTTAACTAATTGTCCATTATCTATCCCTACTAATCCTACACTGCAGGGGAGAACAGGGAGGTGAGAATCATGAGCCTGCTGCTTGTCAGAGCTCATTTTTAAATCAGACAATGAGCATTCTGAAAGGATTTCTGGCCAAAATTCAACCAAGAAATTGTCTTTTTCTTGCTGCTATTCAAAAATATCACCTTTCCTGGTGGCAAATACTAACAAATGCTGACTTTACTGCAGAAAAGCTTAGGTCGGGAGGAAAAAGGTGTTTTACAAAAGGGAAGCCACATGTACAGCGTGAATCAATGGCACCAGGAGCCACTCAGCAGTAAACACCCACTGTTCTGGGAGGTAATTAGAAGTAATTAAAGGGCCAGCGGTTAACGAGTGTCCGCCCACCAGGGGGGCTGATGTTGATAGATTAGCTGCACTAACGCATTTACAGTCTGCCAATCACTGTGGATGAAGCGGTTTTCCGGAGGAGGAGGGAAAACTCCATTAGCACGGGCCTAAATCAGATCTGAGCGCGAGTTATCCGCCCATTTTCCTGATGTTCATTATCTGTCCCCTGATGCTCGTACATTTGGCTTCAACTGATTGGCGCCCCCGCCCTTTTTGGGCTTTATTTTCCTAATGAGTGTCACTGAGTTGGCGATATAGGATATTGTTTGGGCAGTATTCTCAGTAATGTATCACTAATGCATCCGACGGTCTTCTGTGGGACTACTGGATGTTGTCACTCCTCAGTGTTGTTGTGCAGAGATGCACTAATGTATCTGAAAGTAGAAGAAAAACAGCAGCAAACCTCCAGAGTCAAGCCTCAACTGTAATTTCAAAGTGCAGAATAGATAAGGTGGCAGAGTTCTTTAAGAGCAAGATGAGGTAAGTTCACCTTCCTTTGTCCTCTCATTGTATCCCTGCATTAAACGACAAACCATCCCTGCAGCACTTCACTCATATTATTTTAACGCTTCTCACCAGTCGCCCGTCTGAGTGGCAGATGACAGAGAGCTCCATTAGAAGCATGTTGGGTATGTACCTGTGTTTGTAGAAGGGGCATTTAGAAGAAATCAGCGCAGTGCATTTTTCTTTTCTCCAGCCGTCCACCCTGCCTGCGCTGCAAAATGGTCCCAGTGTGCTCTCGCCCTCACCTCCATTAAGGCTGGCGACTCATATTGAGCTTGTGAGCTTTCAGGAGTGTGTTCCCCCCACTTTTTTTTGTATTTTGCAGGCACTTACACTCAATGTCCAATTGCACCATCCCCTCCTTGGGCCCAGCTTGGTTCTCTGCCTCACAAGTCAGGTTGTGCAGGTTGTCCTTGTAGGAAACGTTGGTGAGGTGAAGGAGCAGGTTCAGTGTGGAGCCAGAGACCCTCTCCTGCAACAGACAGAGAGGGGGATCAGAAAGGAAACAAATCTATTTTAAATTTTAATTTAAAAAGATGCTGAAAACAAGCGAAAAAAAAAAAGGACAAACTCTGGTCATCACAAACAGAAACATGTCTTCCTACCTGAACAAAGAAGTGAGAGGAAAGCTCTTCAGTTCGCCATCTCACCTCAGGTGTAGGACTTCCTGTCACCTGACACTCAAACGTTAGGTTGCCTCCTTCTTGAGTCTTAAACTGGGAGGGCACAATCCTGACCTCAGGCAGAGCTGGACACAGTCAGGAGACAAGATGAAGACGAATTAAATCAGTGCCAAGCTTTGATTTATCCTTTATATTCTTATAAAATCACAATCAGAGCGACTAACTCATGTTTCCTGGCCAGAAAAAAACATTTAATATTTCATATGTAAAAAAACAAAGTTGCAGTAAAAAAGTTTAAAAGTTTTTATTAGGGCTGTCTATTGCATATTGATAAAATAAATTACTTGAATTATTAGTTTTTAATGTTTTTATTTAGAAAACAAAATTGATGCTTAGATGTGATTTTTTGAATATAAATAAAACAGGACCTAAAAATGCTCCAAACATCTTTGAGTCAGGTAAATTTTGTGCAGAATAATGAGGTTAAATCAAGAATTCAAGGATTTTCATTCCAAATGAGTTCTACATGATGAATAAAAGATAGATACTGAGGTCACAGTTGTCAGCAAAATATAAATAAATAAAATAAAATAAACCATAAGAAGACAAAAAGAAAAAAAACTCTACATAATGAGTTACACATGGAGTTTTTTATTTAATTATATTTATTTAACCTTTATTTATCCAGGTAAACTGTTTGAGAACCACTTCTCGTTTACAAACATGACCTGACATGGACTGAGTGCATTGTAATATACAAACATATTCAGCCAGAGTAAAGTGATTGTAAATTTTTATTGCAATTAAAAATTTTTAATCTATGCCCATGCAGCACTAAAATTAAATAGAGTTAACTCAATTAATTTCACATCCCTAGTTTTTATAAATCATAAAACATCTTGGCAGTTTAGAATAAATGTTTTTTTCCAGAGTTCAGTGTTGAAGCAGAGAATCATGAAAGTTTCCTTTCAGCAGAAAAATGCATCTTTTTTCTCTCCGGTTTGGAATTTTCAGCATAAATCTGTTTCTTTATTCAAATGAAACAAAATGAAGTGAATAAAAAACTGCAGGTCTGTTGGTTTTTTCTTTTGATGAGGTTAAAATTCAAACTCACTGCAGTTCTCGATCACCAGAGCGTTGAGAGGGATCTCCTCTCCGTCTGACAGGCAGAGCAGCATTTGACTGTACAGATCACCGCGGTCGTCTGTTTGCCACTGCTGCATCCAGAAAAGCTCACAGGAGCAAACCAGAGGGTTGTCCTTTAAAACCCTGCAAACCAAAACAAGAATCAGAACATCCTGCTCAAACTGAAACATAAATCTGTTGCTTCTCTTTGTTTTTGATCAATTTAAACGATAAATCCTGCGTGTGTGTGTGTGTGTATTTATGTTGAGCTTATTTCTGTTATTAGTCATAGTTTGTGTTTGATATGTCTGTAATGTTTAGTTTATTATTCACACCTGCTGTGCATCAGCTCATTCCTCTCAGCTGTTCTCACTCAGTAATCGCTCCTCAGTGTTTCCCTCCCTAACTTTCTTCATGTCGTTGTGGAATCTGTCACCTGCTCTGTGTCTGCAGCAGCTCTTTGTGCTGTCTGTTCTTTAGTTTGCTGACTCAGCAGCCGCTTTATTTTATGCAAATTTGTATTTTTTTCATTCAGATTTTCTGCCTCAGAGTTTGCAGTTTGTGTCGATCCGACACGCAGCTCTCCACATGTCTGCGTTCATAGATGCTGAGGAGAGTTCTCTTATTGGGTTAGACAAACCAGGAAGTAGTTTTCCTTTGTTTACTGTAAGACAACAGAACTATAATGAAAGTTTAATAAGATAAGTTGAGAAAAAAAAGGATATTTATGAAGAAAAACAAGTTTGAAGCAATTATAAAAATGCTGGTTCGATTAATTTATTTGGAAGATTGGTAAAATTTGTTTTGTTGAAGAAATAGGAAAATACATAACAGGCATTTATACAAGCTGCTGTTTGAGTTATAATCTTTTTTATTTTGTTTTACTGATTATTAGGATGTGAAATCGTCATTTATGTATGGTTGTATGAATATATATATGAATGTATATATTTAATGGGAGCATACATTATAAGGTTTTTTCTTCTTTCTGCTCCTTTTTCATTTAGTGATATTGTGTTTGTTGTGCYGGAAATTGATATGTTTTTTAATTAAATGTTTTGTTTTTCATTACATGCAATAAAAATGGTAAAGAATAACATGAATTTCTGGCTTTAATTTTGAATAACTCAGATTATAAATGTTTATAAAGAAACATGAGTGAACCAAAACCATCTGGACTTCTGGTTCATCTCAACAGATAAATGCTGTTTGTTAGAAATAAACGTAATAAATATGATGCCTTCATCTTTTCCAGAACAGGGAAAAACTCACAAGTTCAGAAGTGGTAAAAAGTGAAACACTCTCCAGCTGATGTGCTCCAGAAAATTTGATGCAAAGTTCCTGTGGAACAAAATGAAATGACCTTGTAAACTTTAAAATGCTGCATCACAATCAGTCCAGTCATTTAAAACAACTCAAGACAGAAGTTCCTTGAATAAAGATCAGGATGTTTCTGCCATCAGCTCAGTTTGAGAGAAAAACAACAATGAATGTTTTAAAAGAAACAAACAAGAAAAAAAGGAACAATGCAGGTAAGTATGTTATATTTTCCTTGTTGAACTCTGGTGTTTCTCTGCAGTCGAGTCAAGCTGTGAGCTGATTGCTCACTCCCAGAACAATGCGTACCTGCTCTGAAGTACTCGGTGGAAAACATTAATGCATCCAATTTGTCTCAGATCAATTACTGAGGCAAGTGTTTGACACGGAGCAGGAGCCACATGGCACACCTCTGCTCTGTGTTCACTACTTTAGATAATTAGTCCTCGGCCACAAACAGTTCAAGGCTGATCTGCTGCAGAAAACAAAAGATTTCAAAACAACTAACTTAGAAAATAAAGATTGTTGGAGAAAAATCATTTATTTTTATATAGAAAAAAATGTTTTTGGTGAATACATTATTGTCTAAACTGAATAAAATATCTTTAAAAGTTCTCATATCTCCTGAAATCTTTAAAGGGATCCATGATTAGTTGTAACATTAGACTTTATTTGATAAACGTATATTTTAACTGTAAAATAAAGACTGTAAAAATACTGTAGG